TTTTTACTGCTTGACATAAGTAATTCAAGTTAGTGATCAGTCAATTGGATGCATGGAGGGGAAATAGAAAATTAAAATAAACTTAAGAGCAGACAAGTATTTGACCACCAATGGTCACTATAACAGAAGTAATGAATAAACAATGTTAGCATAACTGTAGGAATTTTCAGAGAACACATCCATAAACTGTTAGGAGATACCATACAAACACCCCATAGAAACAGAGCATAGCAACCAATCAGAATCCTTGTCTTATTTTCAAATGTGTACTGCAGAAATAAGGGATGGAAGGTTATTGCTTGCTATATGCAACAAGAAATGTATAGAATACATTTCATATAACAGCTGCTCTTATGCACAAAATTAAATTACTGTATTATGCAGGTTCATTAAATAGCTGCTAGCCTATGTGATCACTCACTGATTCTTGTTCTATTTGGTCATGTAGAATACTCTGAGGGACTGTGGATATACTTTTTTCTTGGGATATTATTTTTTTTCTAAATATTCAGTTCAGGAATGTATGACATACCCGCATGTAAATATTTTAAAAGCTTTTTGTATACTTGCTGAAAGATAAATCTTGGCATACTAAACTTGGCACCAACAATTGTTAAGCATATTATACATGACAACATAAATAAGTTTTGTTTCTGAGCATGTAACAAGCATGCTGAAGTACAAAAGCCCATTTTCCCTTTCCATTTGTCCTTACTGTGACTACCAGGATAGAAGCTGATGGTAAATTCAAAAATTTACAGTTGTCACCAAAACAGGAGTTGAGTGGACATCTTCTAATGGGAACACAGACAGACAAAACAAAATATGACAGGAGTTTTAGACATTTTCTACTCTATCCAAAGCTACAGAAACAAATTGGAAAAGCAGAACACGTCACAGTAACCCTTTAGACTGCTCCTCTTTTTATTGTACTAAGCTGCTTTAGGGTTTCCTGTGCATACGTCTTCTGGATAATGTACTCTGCACAGTGTAAGCAAAGGTAATGGTTTCCTCAAGTGTTTTGTGGATTTTATGAGTGTTTTGTGGGTTTCTTAAAGAACATATGCAGTGATATATGGGTTTCCTGTGCAAGTGCTTTCTGAACGTACACGCAGGTCCTGTGTGCTTTCTAATGATATATGTGCATTGACCTAAAAACACATGCATAAATTACTGTGCAGATAGTTAATACTTACATTCCCACACCGATGTAAAAAATATTTACTGATATCCGTATATAAAGAGGACAAGAAGAACAATGGTATAATTTGTTGTATTGTAGGTTTTTCTTCAAGAGGTTGGTAAATTAGATGCACAGAGCATGGGACACATTTAACACATATTCAGTATAAACAAGGCAAAGAAAAAGATCCACTACAGAGATTTATTGTCACAGTAACAATAGTTTCACATGACAAAAAGTGGGGGGAAAACTGAAACAGGGACGCAGACAGCAATAAAATGCCAAGAGGGGCTCTAGTCCTTCCCCACTCTATCCGAAATAAACAAAAAAGGTTTTGGCTGGACATACATTTCAAAGTTTTACTCTAGCCAAAAGTTTTATCATTACTTCTGCCAGGCTTTTATTATTGTCTGTCATCCCACTGTAGAAATCTCCCCACACTTCCTGTCCCTGTGATGTTATGGCCATTTTAGTTATTTTATTTTCTTAGCAAATATGGAATATCATTTTAAGCTACCATTTGGAAGTAAAACAGTTAATGGTATTAGTCAGTAGCCGAGCTTCCTCTATTTACATGCTAATTAACTCGCTCAGCTACCCTGAAAGGCTAGTTAAACAGGAAGTAATGTTGACAGGAAATGGAGGCAGACAAGAAGTGAGATCACATGCAGCCACAAAGTGGAGAAGACCACAACGAGCTGTAAGACTGGAAGAAAGGGCAGGCAGCCAGGTTGCTTATTCCCTGAGCAAATGAGAACCAAAAGAACTGAATGAGGCCTTGATCAAAAGCTAATTAACAACTAATTATGTAAATCCTAGATGGCATTAAAAATTTACCACATGCTCTAATCTTTTCATTTGTTATTCCAAATAAAATATAAAGTTTTGGCTGGGGTTGCACTTTAAGCCCTGAGACAGGATTTTTCTGAATCATATCCATAACAAACAAATGGGAACTCTTGGAACCATATTTAAAAATATGCCTTGCTGGGGGTGTCACTGCCCTTTTCTTTTTTATACATTGCTGAAGGTGTATGTAATTTGATCAATGACATTTATCAAACTTCCCAACGGTAATATATGTTTTCCTGGCAGTAATACATAGTAACTGGAATGCATTGCATTTTGGCATGAATTATTCAATTAGTCCCTTGTGCAGAAAAATGAATCACTCCAACTTTTTGTGGTAGTTTTTCACCTTATAAAGTATGTTTTGCAACAGTGTTAAATACACACATATGGTTCAGACATGGATGCAGTGACATAGCTCTTAATGCAGTCTGAGAAAAGGAATAAGGAAGCCAAAAACTCTGTCGTTCATCTATAATTCTACATTGTCACTCATTCCTGAGCAATCTGATTGCAGCTTGCAGGCAAGTGTCTCTGGAGGTTATAACAAAAACCCACAATTCAGAGTGACTTCCCTTTCCACTTCCAAAAAGAATCTTCCACGCAGATTAGTTTTAAGCTGCTCTGGAGACTTGCAGTTTACAAGTGCCTCAACGGTTTGATGGGTGAATCTGCTTGGGTTATTTCACAGGGTTAATGGCAAACGCCTCACAAAATGTGAGAATTGCGAACTCTAATGCAAATCCCTTAGAAGTCAATGTGAGGCAAATCTTGACAAATCAATTCTCTCCATTAAGGCTATAAGGCAAGGGATTGTCAAGCAAAGGGCATGGGAAGCTTGAAACTGGCAGGAAAAAAGAAAATACCTTACTGCAGGGAGCAAGAAGGGAAATATTAAAGGGTGCACCTGTAAAATGTGCAAATGGGATTTGCAAAGAAAAAAATACTATTTAAATTGCCTCTAAATTATATTTACCAGCTACTATGGATTGTATGGAGGGTAAAGAGGGTACCCCAAGCAAAAAACAAACAAGTGTAGATTCCCAATGTTGATGTCCCCACATCCAGTCCCAAAAGGGGATTTGCAAGGGGGAACTTAAGGCAATCTGGAAGCCCCATTTGGAATAAGGATGCCTCCAGATACTCCCCCGTCAACGAGAAAGGGGTATATAGCACCCCTGGTTACAAAAAAATGAAATGAAACAAACACATATCTAAAATATATATTTTTAAAATTAATAGTAATAATAATGTCCCATGATATCCAACAATTAATGTCCCACAAGCTAAATGCCTCATGACAATCCTCTCTTGCCAATACTCTTGCCACGAATGACAAAATCCCCGGCTGGCAGCTGAATGATCCTAGGTGACATCAGTGACCAAATATGATTTTGTCCTAGCAACCAACTTTGCTGTGTGTTTTGGTCTCTGACATCACTCTGGGATGCCCACCCAGACACACAGCAGGATAGCGGCTGCTAGAATGCTGGCAACCAGTTTGTATTGTATCTTAGTTGTATTGAAGTTGTGCCGCTACTTGCGCTCTAGCAGCCACAGTGGGGAGTTGTCATTTAGTGGCAGTAGTAATACTGCCACTAAACAAATTACTTCCTGCTGCAGTAGCAGCCAGGGGTTCGCTTGGGCAAACAAGGTGCTAACAGGTCATTTAGGTAGTCAAACTCAAAATTCTCTACAGTCTAGCTTCTTGAAGGTTCCTATTTTCACCCTGGCATTCATTTGTGAATCCAGCTGCATTGATAGCAAATTCATTAAAATTGCTGGGTTTCTTTTATGATTGGCTCTGAATTTGAGTCTGCAGAATACATGTAAGAGTCTACATGTGTTCAACCTATTGCCTTGACACTGAATCTGTGCAATTTGTCTCCATGTGTGCTATGTGTCAGTGGGTTAGATAATTGTAAAATTGAGAGCATTTGGTTTTATACCATCATGATTTGGCCTTATATGTTTTATTTTAATCTCGTGATAATACTTTTTTATTTCTATCATGGAAATACTTTTTTATGGATCTGTTTGTACAAGGTATAGTATTATTGTGAATTAGATGTATTTCTTCTATATACACACAATTTTGTTGTGGATGTACTTTTCTTAAGGGCTTAATTGTAAAACATTACTAACAGTTTAGAAATCATGAACCAGATCACGTCGGACCAGGATTCTAATCAGAGTCTTGGCTGGCGATTTTCTTGTTTTAAGAGTATTGTCCTATTTGCAGCAATTTATTGCGTCAAGGTTTTCTGGTTTGAAATGTTTTATTTTTATTTTTTCATGTTTAAATAATTTTAAGTGGAAAACATTCCAGTTTGGAAAATTTTTATGCATATGACTGAAATGTCATCATGAGACACTGAACTTGAGAAGGAAATAGTTATTTTAGTTATTTTAGTTTGCTGTTCTATATGGAAGGATCCACCAAGTATTAATTTTAGTGTTAAAGAGTTTATGCTGTTAGTACGGCATATTCAGTGCAAGGACATCACTGCAATGCCTACTTTATTAAAACCACATAAACTGCCATCTTATACATTTAGTAATACCATTTTGCATGAATTCCTCTCACTTCCTGTTGTGGCTATCGGGCAGGAAGTAAAGGGAATTCTCCCCAAAGGAAAGCCAAAATTAAAGCTGACAGGGGTTATATCCTCCCTTAGCCTATCCAAAACTAAAAAAAAAGGTTTTGGTTTCAGTTCTACTTTAATGAAGTATACATTTGCTGGTCTGCTTAGATTATATTTACATTGCATGCTGTTCTGTTACAATTGAGTTATACTATAATTAACAAGAAATCTTTTCTAAAATGTACTGATGAAAGATGACACTACTTTGTCATGCTTGTAACCGGCATTTTCTCTCCAACTCCCTCTAAAGCATTTTTTTCCTTTCCAAACATTAACTCATGTTCTCTACAGCATAGAAATGGTATTGAAAAAAAAAAAATCACCTTTTTATTAGGAAACATTGACTGGATAATGTACGCTTCGAAACTATGTGTTCCCTTCACTTGTGTTTTCTCCCACAGTGTTTTCAGGACTTGCATAGAAGTAGTCTGAGTGGACAGTGGCTCCGAAAGTAAACTCTGGTGGAATACATATGGAGAACAATGATAAATAATGTATTGCTATGAAACAAGACATCACTTGTTAACTAACATTGTACTGAATGTGTCTTTCTGCCATAGATTTTCTAAATTCTAAGCAGGAAAACTGATGTATAGTTAAAAAAATATTTTTTCTCTTTTAGTCAAAACACTGGAAAGCCTATTCATCTGATGTCAAACGACTTACACACAAGGGGTGCATAGTAAACGATCTAGGCAAAAATAGCTCATTTGGAAAAATTCTCCAATTCAGCTCACTTTCCAGTTCAGCAATGTTTCCCTAGATCATTCACTTCTGCCTTCTCCAAACTCTTCACCCTTTTGTGAATAACCCTGTCAGGGCTTTCAAATTATTGACAGGGTCCCTTTAGGATATTAATTCCATTAGAAATATTTCCTCTGATTTCCTGTAGTATCTTCTAGAAATTTTTTTTGAGACTTTCACTTATTTCTTGTTGTGTCTCCAGGAATAAAGTTTTGAGTTCATATACACTTAAAATGTACTACAATGAGTCTTTCATCCTTTGTAATATACTGGCCATGCATCTAGAATGGTGCTGGGAAAGCAGTGTTTTCCTTATTAGGATACATAAACCAGCTGTGTCCTATTATACAAGCAGATCCTTCTACACGGTCTACTTAAGTTACTGTAGTGGCTTGTATCAGTATCTGCAGTGAGTAGGTCCTGGTTGTGCCCAAGGCAGTGGTTCAGTAGCCTTCAGACAGTAATTCTGCGCATGGAGAGGATTTCTATTATCGCTAAGCAATATGTTACTTTTATGAAAAGTTACTACATTCAAAATCTTATCACCAAATCAACAACTTCCCTTTTATGTATGCTTAAACGGAAAAATATGAGTTCTTAGCTGATATAATGTGACTTTACATGTTTTTGGAGCAAGATGATCTGCGTCCTAAGACAGTTTTATATTCTACTTGTCCAAGGCGCTTTCCTTGATAAGGATTTAATGTACTGATTGTGATACCATGACATTTTACCACATACCCTGTTTCCCCGAAAATAAGACCTACCCCGAAAATAAGACCTAGTACTATTGTTGGGAATTGCTAAAATATAAGACCTACCCCCGAAAATAAGACCTAGTTGTGACCATTCCCAGGGCCGGTGTTGGCATGAGGGGGAACTTGAAGAGCCACTGGAGAGAATCAGCGGTATCAATGAAGCCAGCGCTAGAAGAAGCGACGCGTCAGCGGAGTGAGCAGAGCCGCATAAGCCGATGCTGCCTCTATAGCGCAGGCTCCTGTCACAGGTGGAGTGATATCAAATGCACCCCGCCTGTGAAGAATCGATAGTGAAAGTGCGCTTCGCTCATTCTGGCCAGCGATTGGTTAGCAAATTGCTCTTGCAAAGGTATGGCACCCCTGATCACCATATTTTTGTACATGAATACATGTAGACTGTTGTACAGGAATAAGTGTGGATTGTTGTATATTAAAATAAAAACCAAAATAAGACCTACCCCGAAAATAAGACCTAGAGGTGTTTTTTGAGCCAAAAAAATATAAGACAGTGTCTTATTTTCGGGGAAACACGGTACTACCGTATCTTTCAAAAGAGTGTCAGCTGAACTCAGGTAATAAATACCAAAAGCTGATACCTATAATTGTTACAAATATAAAAAAAGAACATACTTTCACGCTGACATTTTGCTTTGTGAAGCAAAAGTAAAATTGATACATTGTGTATAGTGTATAAATGCTTTCACACAGTGGATGGGGAATTTCCCAACCGCAGCTTCACATAAGCAAAATCACAGGATGCAGTGAAATTATTGACCCTATATGGCTATATTAGGTACAGTAAATGACAACCAAACTGGTCTGATCCTGAGCTTATCCCTATTTGTAATTACACATGTACACAAGGAAGCCATGTACGTTCATCACATGAGTTTGCTACACTTCCAACTGTGTAGCGCTGTGCAGTGACCGTTCGTCCTTTCTGTATCAAAGCAGTCCTATCAGTCTGCTCAAACTGACTACAAACAATATACTTCTAATGAGGTCTAGCCTTCATTTAACATAATTGCAGCACTTGTTTAGCAGGGATGTTTAGGAAAGTTCCTAGAGCCACTAGTGGGACAAACTACAGATTTGTATATGAAAAATAGTCCTCTAAAATCAAGCAGCTAACATCTAAAATGTGCAGCAGGGGGTGCATCATGTATTATTTCCAAGGACAATTCCATAGTAATAACTAGGGATGCACCAATACCTGTTTTTCAGTATCGAGAACGAGTACCGATATTTTTTTTCTGTTACTGGCCGATATCGAATACCAATAGTGGAAGTCCCATTAAGAAAGCCAGGCGCCGTGTAATGACCCGCTTCCAGGCTTCCTGATTAGTCGGGAAGCCGTCTCCATGCTCCCTTGTCACCAGGTGATGAGGAAACATGGGGCCAGCTTTCTGGCCGATCAGGGAGCCGGAGAGGTAGATAATGATTCACCGCCCGGGCTTCTTGATTGGCTAGAAAAACTAGGGATGTACCGTTTTTTTTGTATTGTGTAAAAGTACCGATATTTATTTTTCGGTACTCGCCGATACCAAATATCGATACCGGAAGTCCCATTAAGGGAGCCGGTAGGTGGGTAATGTCTGGCCGCCCAGCTTACTGAGTGGCTGGGAAGCCAGCTCCATGCTCCCTCGTTGCCATGTGAGGGTGAGTCATTACCTTCCCCTTGGCTTCCTGATTGGCTGGGAAGCCAGCTCCATGCTCCCTGGTAATAAGGGAGTATGGAGGAGGCTTCCCGGCCAATCGGGAAGCCAGGTAGCATATAATGACTGATTCCTGCTTTTCGGATGTTCCGGTATCAGGATAAGTGCTGACTGAAAACTAGGGATGCACCGATACCAAGTACCGTACTTAGTAAAAGTACAAGTACAGATACTTTTCCAGCTCCAAGACTAGAGAAAAATTCCAAAGTTAGGAGGCAACTGTCATTTGTAAGGAGCACACAGAGCTCCTGGGATTTGTACATCTCTGTTTTAATGTATGATTTTGTTTTTATAAATATAAATAAAGGGATGCACCAATACCAGTTTTACAAGTACTGTTATTTGCCCAAGTACTTACAAGTACTGATACATTTTTGTTAATGCCATGTGACAGTTTTACTAAAACAATATCGACTAATGATTTCAGGACAGTGGTGGAGCACAAGAGCCAGGTCCCAGCTGCAACCCTGGTAGTTCTCATGAAAATGCCAAGTATCGGCACTGGTACTCAAAAAGTATCGGTGCATCCCTACTGAAAGCACATAAATGTTACGCTATAAGGCTGAACTCCGGGAAAATGTATTGTCATGTATTTGGGCTGTGCTGGAAAAAACGGCCAGTGCAGCCCGAACGCAGATGATGTGAACAAATACTACAACAAATGCACTAGAAAGATACACTTGTATTTAATGTTTGGTAAATGTCACTTAGTCTCGGTATATTTCTCCTATTTGATCTAGCAGAGGGACCCTTTACTAGTTTTCTACAGTGGCCTATGGGTTCAGAAAAGAGTTTCAAGTGCGTCTGGTCTTTTTACGCTAGTCTTAAATATTTTGCTTTGTGTCTTTAAATATTGGTTTAAATATGTCTTGCTGAAAAAACATTTGATATTTCATCTCCATAATAGTTCACTACAGTGACTTTAAAGTTGGACAAAAAGAAGAGCTTGGGTCTTCTCGCTGGAGGGTGAGTGGACATTTATTTAAGGCCCCTGCTCACACTAGGGCAGTTCGGCAGCGTGGATTTGGCCGCACTGAACCGCCGACAATGCGATGGGGACCGTTCATGTGACCACGTGGCTCCGAGCGATCCGAACCGCCTGCCACTCAAAAGGCTCCCTGACTCTTTTTTGCCGGGCTGACCAGCGCGGTTTCCATCTAGATTTCAATGGATCCGAGCTGATCAGCGCAGTATTGGGCATTTTTTATTTAGTTTCAGGGCATCTAAAACCGCCCTTTTAAAATCCACATTGAAACCGTGCTGATCCTCAATAGCCCTGGTGGGAACGGGGCCTAAAAGTAACCTTTAGGATCTGAAATATAAACACACTTCTGTGACTTATCTAATGATTCCAGACTAGATTCGTTTTGTGGGAATTCAGTTAGGATATAAAAAGTAAAAGATGTGGATCCGCGCTTTATGGATAGCCCTGATTTAAAGTTAGGATATAGCCATCAAGATGAAATGTGTCTGCTGGCTGCTATTTCACTGCATACTTGTATCTAGTAAAATTATGTTTTCTGCAAATAAACACCAAATCTCAAAATAAATATATAAATACTTACTTTGCATTCTTCTGTTTGACTTCACTCTTTGCTTATACATACAGTATAATAGATAAATACATATACATGTATATGACATACATATCTTTATCTTGTCTTTAACCAAAATATACTGAAAATATAAAAATATTATTTTTATATTATTATAGTCCTTATAATGTTATAGTCCTTAATGGTAGCAATTACTGAAACATAATCATATCCATAGCTTTATTTTTCCTCTTAAACTGTAACAGTAATTGACATTGGACTGCTAGTATACACTACATCTAGCATGAGTGGGAATTCCCTTTCTCAGGGTACCTATAGTACTGATGTGTATTTACCTGCTGAAAGAGAAACATAATGTGGATCCAAATCTGTGGATGTCGGCTGATCAGGACAAAGCTGGATTTACTGTACAAGCAGTAATGACCCTTCATAGGACAGGTAAAGAACAGTTTCACCACACAGTTTTTAAAGGCATCTAGAGGAAAGCGACAGATTTGTAGTATAAATATATAGTTGCAACAATGCTCATACATAATCATAGTTTGACCAGATTAACCCTTGAATCATGGACACATATGATAGACATAAATTGTGTAATACAGATCAAGACATTGGTGCGCCCTGGGCAAACATTTCATGTGTGGATTCTCTCATACAGCAGCCACCATAATAAATCTTCGATATCAGAAAAGTTGAAGATTTATTATGGTGGCTGCTGTATGAGCCACCATAATAAATCTTCAATATCAGAGAAACTATCATTAAAATACAAATTGGGTTCAATAAAGTAAGGTTATGGCAGGACTCTAGGAACCAGACAAAATAAATGCACATGAACTGTTTTTTTCTTTAAAAGAATTTGTAATTTTGTTTAGCCCCATCTATACAGACAGATGATTACATCAGTATTCAGAGCCTGCAGATTTCTGTATCATCTCCCCAGCTTCAATTAACTCACCAGGACTGTCAATGTACATTAACACACAAGTGAGGACTAGAGATGAGATTGTGCTTGGTGAAAACCCAATCTGCCTGAGTTCATCCAAGCCCGCTCAAATCTCTGACTGCCACCCCCTTCTCCTGACCCAGTCAGTTGCATGGAGGGGCATTCCTTGGCCTACAGATATAAGTCACAATGGGTCGGGGACAGCCCCTGCCGCAACTGCCACCACTGATTGGTTCAGGAGGAGGGGGTGGCGGTCAGAGTTTTGAGCAGACTTGGGAGAACTGGGTTCACATCAAGCCCAGCCTCATCTCTAGTGAGGACCTCCCTGCCTCATTGCTCTGAAATCTAATTCTGCACAGAAACAAAGCTTCATCACAAGTTTTTAGCCTCACCTGATAAGCAAAAACCTAATCTCTGTTTGCAGATATTAACATAACCAGAATTAGTACCAATTAACACAGGCTGGTAAATTAATGATAAGCAACTGTGGCAACTAAGAGCATTATGCATGCTTTATGTACGGAACATTTCAGAATGTGATTGGCTCATTCTTTCACCAGAAGGTTTTACAGAACTTGAACCCAAATCACTGGCATCACTTGCATTAGTAGGGTACTTTCAAAGAGCTTCCAGATGTTGCAGGAGATGCAAAGATTGAAGCTTTTCTTATTACAGGTGGCTATAATGAACATAGACCCTTCCCAATAGAAATGAAAAAGGTATGAATTGTCAATAAAGTTTGCAAAAGTCTTTAACGTGAATATAGTTTAACTTGTGTTTTTACTGTGAATCATGTACTAGATATCTGCTTTATGTGATATTTTATAAAGTTAATAAATAAAATAAGTAATTATAAAAGTTAATGTATTGGGTAGGTGTATATTGACTGTATTTTTAAAACTGGCTGAACTCCACAGTTTGTGATCCTTCCCCACATAACGTCAGGATATTTCCCAAGAAAACAGACACAAAGGATACTTCTATCAAATGATATATTAAAGAAAAGCTATCCAGTGTGAATATTTGTGCTCAGCTGGGAAATTATATTATGCTATAGTTATAATACTAATTGTGCATAGTTCTAAACAATTTCCATTTCATGGGTAACCACATCTACACTACTTCCTATATACAACGCTATTATACTGCATAACCTCTGGCATAGTGGAAGTCATTTGTCATTGACGCCAAGATACAGAATTGGGTAATGCAAAGGTTTCTGGAAATTATTATTATTGTACTTGTGGGAATAATAACACTGTTTAGTGTTTGCTGTGGCAAGGTGCCATAATCGAAGTTGATATAGCAGATATCAAATATGTGCAAATGTATCTCAGTTCAGCTTGCAGTGTACTTCATGAATTTCAGAAGAATAACAAAATACTAAAAAATGTCAAGATTTCATACCAGTCAAAAATCGCTTGAACATAAATGCAAAGAGTTATTGTATTAAAAGACTTCTTGTGATGATTTCACCATTTTTCAGAAGTAATTCCACAGTATTAAACAAAAAAAAGAAGAAGAGGTAAAATGTCTTCCTTTTTCCAGTCATCTCAAGGCCCATTCACACCCCCCATGATGCGTGAACATGCAGTAAGTGCATGCATTACCACAATGTGCGGTAACACAACCTTACATGAGTAACACATGTGCACTTAAATGCACTGCTCCACAATGCACGGTTCGTGAGCTACAAAAAAAGCAGCCTGCACCATTTTATTGTGCATTGAGGTGCAGCTCATTCATTTTTGAAGGACTACCTAATGCAACAAACCTCAGTGCACAAAAAAACTGTACTTGCAGTTCAGTGTGGTGTGACTAAACCCTTTCTTGAGAATCATACCAAAGCCACTCTCTATCACTGTGCTGTGCTGGCAGTACTGTGTGGCCGATCGCCCCCGCCCCACAAAAAAAGTGAGCGGGCTGCAATGCGAGGCAGCACGTTCTGGCCAAAATCAGACCGGACCGCACTGCATCTGGGGTGAACGGGCCCTAAAGCAGAGTTTTATAAGATCAAATACAACCAGATTTAGCAAACTTCTCATGAGGCTTTTAGATGTGACTAGCTTCTTGTCATATTATTCTCCCTCCCATGATCCACAGGCTACTGGCCACATATGTTTATAATCTAGACATGTAAATTTCATTTAGTTCTAAATTCTGTTAAATGTTGACATTCGGATGAGTCCGAATGCAAATTAATCTGAATGGTCCTTTAACAAAATTCGTATCCGTCCTAATGTCGTTCAAAACCATTTAGATGTGTTTTTTTGGCTATTGGGGGTTGCATTACAAACAGTCATGTGACTTCTTTCCGAAACGAAAATTCGGACAGATCCGAAATTCAAATAACGAAACAAATTACATTTCATATTCAAAATCCGAAACCCCCCCCCCCCCAAAAAAAAACCAACAATTGATCTGAAATGAAATGAAACTATTTTTTGCTGGGTTACATGTCTATTATAATCAGACAAAAGTGAGCCGGCTATCCAAAATATGTATGCAAATTTATGATCGGATATTCACCTAATAGTTTGGATGCAATTGACATGCAATACACTAGCTATAATTACACAAAGCTTTGATAAATAAATAATATTTCTGGCGTTATGTCTTTTAGCTAAAGTTATGTGTTACCTTTAGTTTCCATATAATAGGAAAACCTAGTTGACAATATTTTCAAGAAATTATAAATTCATTCTTCTGTGTTTTGGTTCATATTGTTATTAACAATCAATCGGTACAACTTTTTTTCGTTAAGTAACCAATAATGGTGATGCTTTGAGTTGTTAACCAGCTGGCCACTATACACAGCTTAGGTTGAATGAAGAAATATATAATTCGGTACAGTGACTCATCGGGTTGCTTGGTTCCATATTACCATTCTCAGTATGGAAATTGGCAACCTCATCACCCCACACATCATTTCAGATTTCTTCATGTTATCACTTTAGCAGCCAATCACATTTGCAGATTCCATATAGACTGCTTTTATTGTTCCACAGTTCTTGGAAATGGACTAGTTGTGATCTCGCAGAATTAGCTACACACCATGTGTTCCAAATAAATTCCTGGCTCTTGGTATGCTTACATTTTGCACAGAGGTACGCATGAATACTCTGCAGGGGATCTCCTTTTTCTTACATCTATTTCCACATGTGCAATCAATTACAGGACTGAGTCATGACTCAATACCATCTATAAATCATAATAACAACCAGACCTGAGCACAGACCTTCCAGGATGGTTATGGGCATTTTGTATTTGTATAATACCTGACATTGTTAACAGACTGTTTTCATTTAAAGTAGCTGAACAACTTGAAGAAATTATTACTAGAATAAACAGCGAAGCCTCAAAATTGTGTTTGTACATATAATTATCAAATTCATTTCATTTAATGGTAATATAGTAATAGGAAGGAAATGGATTGGGGTAGGTCTATAGGTTCTAGAAGACCTGGATGAAAATTATGAAATAGACAGGGGTGGTTATTAATAAGTGTCAATGTGAAAAGGTTCAGTTTTATAGCACATCACTTCCGTGGTGCCTATACAAACCTAGATATCTTTTTGTCAGTAAGGGATAGTAGCAGCTAGTCTTTTGGCATAGTGTAAAACAAAAATTTGAAAGAGTTTTATTAGTGTTTACAACCCCCTCTGTCGATCCCTTCACTGGCTTCCAATAGCCCAAAGGATAAAATAAAAAATATTAACAACGATTTATAAAGCCATCCACAACTCTGCCCCAGGTTACATCTCCAACCTCGTCTCAAAGTATCACCCTAACGATCCCCTCCACTTTTCCAAAGACCTCCTGCTTTCCAGCTCCCTCGTCAACTGCTCCCATACTCACCTCCAGGACTTCTCTAGAGTCTCTCCCATCCTCTGGAACTCTTTACCCCAACCTGTCCGACTATCTCCCACTCTGACTGCCTGTAGGCGATCCCTTAAGACTCATCTCTTCAGGGAAGCCTATCCCACCTCAAACTAACCACTCATCCATCACATCAGGCCCGTCTTTAATAGTGATCGGACCCTGGGCAAACATTTTCTTGGGCCCCCCCAGAAATTTCTCTCACCTCCCCAACACCCAAAAAAAAAACCAGCACACATAGATCATAGACTTCTCTCAAAAAAACTTTGACTGCAGGATTTCAAACCGATTGCAAGCTCAGCCGTTTATATTAGGGATGCACCCATATATCGGCCGCCAAAACATATCGGCCGCTGAAACATATCGGCCGCTGAAACATATCGGCCGCAAATGCCACTTTTGGCATCATGTCTCCAGGGTCTCAGGATGACTCTCAGGTGGTCAGTGTGGGGATCTCTGGTGGTCGGTGCGGTATTTAGTCAGACTCAGGACATTCCAACATACAGTACATTACAAAAAGCTTGCATTTTATCGAATATGGGTGATAAAAGGGATGCTTTGCTGTTCTCTGCAAAGGCTTCCCCTACCCCAGCGTCAGACCCTTCTTCAGCCTTGGGCACCAGCTGCTTGGTACTCCTGTGATCAGAGGC